ACTTTCAGAAACAAGTGTCATTTGGCCAGAAGTTAGAAAGTTCCACTCACAGTCATAGTTAAAGCTGAAGAAAGTTCCAATGCCATTCGTTGATATTTTTAAGCCACCCATGTGCAAAATACCAACCTGTACATTGTGATGCAGAGATGGGCATTGGGCGGGAGGGATGGTAGGAGAAAGTCATAGTTCTCACTGGTTGAAATGAAAAGCTGATCCATTAGTCTCTCGTGACAGAAATAGTAGAGGTTATCCCAAGTATCACCTACCTACTCTAAAGAATTCACAAGTGAATCACTGAATAAAGCAACTAAATATATTCGAAATAGAATTTGCATCTTCATTTCTCATTGGTATTAATTTCACCTTTTCTTTTCCCTGTGAACATGCAACAGGGCCTTTCCCAGTTTTTGTACATACCAACAGAAATGAGAAGTGGAACAACAGATGATGATTTGTCTGGTTGGTGAAAAACTAGAAAAGGGATTTGTAAGCTTTCATCTCATTTGACAAAGACTGTACCAATTAATCTACTACGAATTGAAAGTCCACGGAGTAGTTAAGTAAACCAGCTACATCAAAAGTCAAAGCAATTCCTTTAAAGTTACCACTTCATACTAAATATTTTTTCCCTATAGTTTTAATAATTGACAAGCTTAATGACAAAGAATAAGGTTTTTATGGTACAATTTGTATTTCATAAAATGCTTATAACTTCCTGGCAAACCAAAAGAGTTACCTGAACTTATGCTCTGTGCAAGTCAGAAGCATTCAACCTCTACAAAAGAAGTCCCCCAGACTTGCATGCCCCTAATGCTGATAACTCACCAACTATATTCTAATGCATTTATCATTTTTGGAAGTACCTAATACCTCTTTACAAGCTTTAATATCCAGCACAAAAAAAATAGCTAAATCTATAATCTACTCTAAAATGTCCAAGACAAGCCAATTTGGTCTCATTTTATCAGTGAAAAATCAGAACTATAATTTAGCTTAAAATATAAACATTTTTTATTACAGTAAATAATTTTATCTAAACATCTGTTAAAGACTTCTTACCTCATTGGCTGTATTATGAGTTCCAACAATCTTTACAAATGCAACAGGTCTTCTCTCAAACGGAATAGTCTGCCAAGATCTGCAAAAATTAAATCATTTAATTAGAGTCTTGAAAAAAAAAAAAAAAAAAAAAAAAATCAATAAAATGCCTATTGTAATAGCTAAGAAAAGAAAACAAGTGGTATCTGACTTGCTGATACACTTGATATGAAAGAATTTATTGATGACATTTTGAAAAATACTAGAATGAGTGAAGCAAGAGTAAATTATATGTCAGGTTAAAACAAAAACATTCCAAGTGTCAAAGCCTCAGAGTTTGTTTTTTCTTGAACTTTCAACTGCCTTCAAATGATCCAATGAAATGACAAGGTTAGCTAAGCATCCAAAAAAAGATATATAGCCATATTATATATGAAAAGTAGTAGGGCTGGGGTTGTTTGTAATTGACAACACAAAATTTGGACAAATTTCAGATTTTTTTGTAGCAAAAAGGACTTCTTTTTAATGTAGTGAAGTTAATTTACAGACCATAAAACATGGCAACTTAATAATCTATAACATTTTATATACTAACATGCTCGTTTTGTACTTCTGTACAAGCTTTTAACATGCATAATGTGCTATTATCGCTATACTACCTCAAAATACATCGCCTCTACTGTCATGATTTACCTTACTAATCACATACCTATTAATGATTCTACTGAAAGAGAAAAATACTATGCTATTCAGTTACAATGAATAATGACTGTAGATATAAGTATTTAGTGAATGTGCAGGTGATGCAATGGTCAGCAGCTCAGAACAAGAAATTGGCAAATTGAAATTCCAGGTGAATTCATTGCATCCACAAATACCCTTCAAAAAGGTATGAATCACTCTTCTTCCCCAACCGATGGGTTAAATAACAGGGCAAACTAAGCTCTCTTGCAATGCTTGGCAACCAGTCTAGAAGAAGGATAACTAAATTCAGAATTATATGTAGCCCTAATGAAACACATACTATACAGCCATGAAAAAGATTACAAGTTCACAGTTAACTGCAGTGTGGATTTGTGAGTATGATCTCAACTGTGATTGATATGTTGGCAGTAGTGAATTAGAATCAGAAATATTGGAAATTTTGTGGGTATCAGAATGAGAATTTTTAATCTAATTTCTGATTGCAAAAAATGATTCTTTGGATTTTTTCTTGCTTAAAACTTAATTTTCCACTTATTTTGGTGATAAAAAAAATATGAACATTTTCCACTCCTAATGATAAAAAAACATTTATTGATCTTAAACTATCAATAAATCTATAGATCATAACAACACCAAAGTATGATGTAAATTTATTTTACTTGTGTAAAAAATAAAAAAAAATAAATGAAATATGCAAGTTTCTACAAAGTTCTTGAACTTTTCATAAAGTTAACTAGTTTAAAATCTGTTTCCGTTGAAAATAAAATCTTTCTTTTTTAACATTGTTAATTCACCCATTTAATAATATAAATTATTGATAATTATAATCAAAATTATGTAATATAAACAAAAAATGAATTTACATTGTTGTTCTGCAGGATCCCCTCCTATCCATATAAACTACCTCTTATTGTAACCCTCTACCACAAGTGGCCCCCAGGCCCTGTACAGAGTGGACCCTACCATTAAAAAAAAAAAAAAAAAAAAAAAAAAAAAAAAAAAAAGTATGGTGGAGCAGACGATAAATTTCATACAAGAGGGTTTCCCCACACCCCTGTGGGTGAATCCTTAAAATGTGACCTTTTAATGATAATGTTATAGGTTTGGATATCCATACTTTGAAATTCTGCACATATACATACAAAAACAAATCAAAATTCTTTTAAAAATATTTGGCACCATTAGATTGTAATAAGCTTTACAATAAATGATTGGTAAATATAGTTTTACTTAATAATATTTTCTAAGAGTTATCTCAATGAAAATGAATTTTAAAAGATTTAAAAGCTTTATAAATTATTTAATTTAAAATTTTAAAAAATGAAAACAAATCTTGTAAAAATTCATTTTTCATTGAAAAAAATTTTTTTTTTCTCCAGAAAATATTGTCCCTAAAAGCAATTTCTCTAATTAAATAATGTATTAGTTTTATTGCATTTTTTATTTTTCAATTCAGAACAAATTTTTAGTAAAACAGAGCCCAATTTTGAAAAAAAAAAAAAATAAATAAATAAATAAAATAATCAGTGATTTAAATTCTTCAAAGAATTTTGCTCTTAACTAATATAGTCATTAAAAATTACACATTGAATTTCTCAAGTTTTTAATAAAATTAAGTAAATTTTTTACCAAGATTTTTTAAAAAACAAAAAAAAATTTTTTAAATTTCATTCATTTGTGAATAAATCCAGAAAATTTCATTAAATTTGAGAATTATTTAATTTCTGCAAGAATTTCCAAATTAAGGTGTCTGACTGCAAAAACAGAGGCTAAAGTTTACTTTGCTAAAAGTTAGAACTGTTGACACAAGAAAAACAATTTTTAATCAAAATTTCGAATTTTCTAAAAAGAAGAAATTTAATTAAATATTAAAAAAATACTTTGATCTTTCCTCTTAATAATAACAAAGATTTTGATGATAAAACTATGTTTTCATTACATTTGCAGCATATTTTCATCAGAGTATGCTAATTTTTTTCGAATTTTCATGGAGGTACCTACTTAAACACAATTTTATTTGAAGTTTCCTGAAAAAATGCATTTTCACACAAAAGCTTGTATTAAAAAACCTAAAATTTAATTCCCATCAAAAATGGTATTTAATTTTATTTTACTAATATTTTTTCTCTAGCATAATTGATTTTTCCTGCATTACATTATTATGGCATTTAAAATATCTTGAACTTTTTTTTATCATTTATTCCTCCTCAGAGCCAAACAAAATGCAAGTTTTATAAGTTTTTCAGACCCCAATTATAGCAAGTGTATTCAATGTAAAACAGAAAAGTGTAGTTCGGAAGTTTTTTTTAAGATTTCTAATGATAACCAAAGTAAAGCAATATGTCAACTGTAGCTAGGTACTTAAGTGATTTACGTAAAGAAATTGTTCTCTTTATTGTTTAAACTCTTACCCAATCTTCTAAATAAAAAGTATATCTAACTTTATTTTATTATTATTTTTCTACTAAATGTTTTATTAATAAATGTACTTTAAGTTTCCCAAAACCAACTGTATGGCCCGAAAATTAATTTTAATTATTGTAGGTATCAGAATGGGAAATTTAGAGTATTATCAGAATTGGTAAAAATATTGGTATCGTCCCATCACTAGTTGACACTGATGATAATAAAAGTTTAAAAAAAAAAAAAAAAAAATTTATACTATACTGAAAATACTGAAATTCTCTTGCCTTGCTAACAAAATCTTTAATATTTTCACAAGTTAGTGATATTTATGCTTATCACTGTTAAATATGATTTAGATATATCACTTTGTAAACAACGTGCTTACATTTAAAAAAATGACAACACTCATGAACAAATGTTGAGCATATACTTCTAAGTATTTATTTTTTTAAGTTTATAGCCCATTTGCTCAAGTGATTCAAGCAGTTTTGTCAATGGTTATAAAGGCAGTGAAAGAATGTGGACAAGGCATTTTGATACCTCATGTTGATACTGATAGCATGTAAAACAAACTCAGATTAGGAGATAATAATTTTTCAATAGAATAAAAATTCCAGCTTGGTGGCAAAAAACTACAATTTTTTATTTTTCCATTCCTAAAAATACAATAGGATTACCAGATATTCTACTGGTCATAAAATAATTCTAATTTTCTATAATAATGAGGTTTCAGTCTGGTCCAAGATAAATGAAGGTTTGTGTTTGTCCAAAGATGAAGAAAAATAAAATAAAGAAACAGTGTATTAACGATTTGAATAAAAGAAAAGTAACAATTATTAAGTGGAGTTAACTCACCTGCAAGCTTCATTCCGTTGGTCGGCCACCATTACCCAATGGTGTTGATCAGTGGAAACTTCCACATAATAACTATAACTCCTCTCATCACAATCCCATAATAATATCCTGTAACACAAACAGAACAGACAAATATTATGTAAGAAATTATTGATAGCATTCAGAGTAAACCTGAGTTTTTACATATATTGGGGACAAAATTAACATAAAATCTTAACACAAACATGAAAAGACCATACTCTTAGATTATTAAGACTAATGCAAGTACCAATATTGTAGTGATATCAGTTGTCAGCTGATATCTTGTTAAAGACATCTGCAGTATGTTATAGAAATTGTCTTAACAAAGAAGGTCAGCTGAGTGGAGCAGACCTCCAAAGAACCAGGTCAATCAACCCTGACAAATAAAACTGAGCCACTGTGTTCTTGATGAATGACTATTTTATTCTATATTTTTTTTTTTTTTTTTAGACAAAAGCTGACAAAATGAGGAAGGCTGGTGGTTCTCTATAAGACAATGATTCCTATGATCCTAAAGGACAGAGGACTGCTTGCTCACCACAAATAAAGGAAGGTACATTACATGCCGCTTAGACCATTTGCTACTCCCCCCCCCAATTTCCCTCACTTTTCCTTGCTCACCTACAGCCTGCCCTATGTAACAAGAGTTCAACTAGAAAACACTGCACACTGTGAATGAACCTTGTGTCTGGTAGCTGCAATGCTACAATATCTTAATGACTACATTTGAAACATTTCAGTTATTTATTTCATAACATAAATCAAACACTACCAATTATTTAAAATAAAAATGCAGGGCTGATTTAAACCTGTGGCCAAGAAAAAGTAATATTTTTTTGCATTTACGCCAAAATTTAATATTCTACTCAACAAAAATTTTAAAACAGAGAATTGAGACAAAAGATGAACCATACAGAATGTCTGAGAACATTTTTTTTTTTTTTTTTTTAATTCATCTGAAGATAGTACCCAGTATATACACAGCCTATAAAATGTGAGTTGTCTCTTACCTCATGGAGCTGCACATGTAGGGCTGTGCCAACTGCACCACAATGGCACCACTGCCCAACTGGTGACATGTGTAGCCTGAATCCCAATCATAGTTGCGGATGTCCCCATTTATCAAAGCATTACGGCTGCGACTCACTCCTTCAATTACACATGCACTTGCTTGGATTGTGGCCACATTCTCACTTGGAACTGAAAGACAAAATAAAATAATGTTCATTTTAATAATAAAGACAACAATCAATACTTATATAACAATCTGTTATAAAATATATATTGTATATTGTTTTGTACTAAAGAAATAAAGACATACTTGTAGGTAACTTTAATGTTTATTAACAAGTCATTAAGGTGAAGGCACAGTGGAGTAATGTATAGCAGCTTGGATTGAAGAATTGGAGAGCCGAGTTCAAATTCCAGTCAAATCTATTACATTCACTTACATGCTAATACCCTTGTGAAAGGTATGACTCCTCTTCTTCTCCCCCACCAGCTATGGGTAAATAGTATGACAGACTGGGTTCTATAGCCTTGAGTAGCAACTGGCCTACCGCAGAAAGAAATGGCAACCTACTGCAGGGAAAAAATCTGCCTTGTCAGTCATGTATCGAAAGATACATGATCACCTAAGCATGTATCATGCATGGCACATAACTGACTGATTGACATTGATTAAGATTAGAAATATGATTTTTCCCCATTATGTATTATAAAAATTCATGAATTTGTTCTATTTTTTTTAATTTAAAAAAAAAAAAAAAAATATTTCTGTATATCCTCAGAACCTTATCACAAACATCTGAATTTAGATATTGATTGATTTGTTTTTTACAGCTTATAAACCAGAAAATATTTTTAGGATTGTACGGATATTTTGGAGATGATAATGATTTACTGATACAAGTCCTACTAATTAACTCATAGCTGGGGAGAGAAGAGGTGGATTCATACATTTCTCCGAGTATTTGTGCATAAGTGAATATAATAAACTTGACTGGAATTGGAAATTGATGTTCCAATTTCTAATTGGAACATCAATTTCCAATTCGTCAAGTTTATTAATTCTGAGCCATTATATATTACACCACCCACACATCCAAACTTACAGCACCTGATATTCACAGTCACCCATCTAGGTACTGACCAGGCATGATATTGCTTAACTTCAGTAATCATATGAAAACCAGTGTTTCAAAAATTTAAATAAAATCAATTACACTTCCTTGCTTTTCGTTTTAATAAATAAAGCGAGGCAGTAATGTGCTGTGCTCAGAAAAATAAAACATCCCTATAACACTAGATACATACACACAACGCATACCTCCAGTTAAGTAAAATTAAAATCATCCTTGATAATGGCTAAAAGTGCTCATAATTACAGAATATTTAGACAGTTTCTACACACACTGTGTTCAGAAAAGAAAATACTTGTTCAAACACAAGAAAAATGAAATAAAAAGCTCAATTGCAGTATCTTGTCTGTCACCTTTAATGAAACATGTATAAATGAGGAATTTCTGTCATATATATATATATATATATATATATATTATATATATAACAAAGTACAGCTCAGGTTATTACTCAAGTTTCATGCTCTCGCAATCTTCAGTTGACTAGAACATTCTCATTATCTGAGAGTGTGAAACTTAAGTAACAACTCAAGCTGTACTTTAAGTGTTGCTGTTGTGAAGTACTTTTTGGTCCGAGTAATCTGGCACTTTACTGTGTAGGTAGGTGTTTGCCTTTTGGTCTTTCTTTTTCCTTCCTTGTTCAGGATTTTTGTATAAGGTGTTAGAGCCATCTGGCAAGTTGTCTGTTGTCACACCAACATCGTTAGTTTTTCTTTAGTTGCTGCCCTTTATTTTAACATGATTTTTAGCCATTGACAAGCTTTACTTCTGTGTTTTTTAAGTCTTACTCATACTGAAATATCTCCTTAACCCAGTGTAGTCCGAAACCAATCAGACATATTCTATGGAAACAAAATAAATTTGCACTAGTTTAATGCAGAATTTTATCTACAGCAACTTCTAATTCCAAATGGGCAGACATTTAATTTAGGAAAAAAAAAAAAAATTAAAATAAACAAAGAATCATGGCCTTTGCCAAATCTGACAGAAAGCCATGTTTCAATTCATTAGAACGAAACTGAACATAAAAAATATATTATCAAGTAATTCCGGTAACCACACAGTCACAACTGTAAGAACATTTGAATTCAATTTCAAATGAAATGAAATTAAACCCATTGAAAAATAAGCAAACACCACCTCTATACATACCAATGAGACCTCTATCCAAAGTGAAAGGTTTGTTTGTAAAGAAACATTCCAAAGAGACCACATGGAATACTCTGTTCACTGTGTTGTGGGTGCCAACAATTTTGATGTATCTGTAAACAAAATGTTCACGTATTTCTTATTCATTTTTGCCTTAATTAATAAAAATAATCAACACAAAATACATTCTTCTTTGCTCATCTTTTTTCTTGCTATCAATCCAGGCCCATTTCAAATTCTTTATTTCCTGAGTCTTATGGCATCAGAAGATAAGGAATTAAAAACTGACACTTTTCCAATACTGAAAGTATTAATCACAAATAAGTTTTGAATCTGTTCATTGAGAGATTGCCTGCAAACCATTTCAAATGTTAATGACACAGCAGTCAAAAATTATTTTGTGAAAATGTATCAGTTCTTGGTATTAGCATAAGAAAAAATTTTAATCAAGAGGATTTATAATCTAGTAGTTGCAGGGAATTCTTTCCAAATTAAATAAGGTATCATACTCTCACATTTCTGTATATTGGTAAATCTTAATTCCACAATAAATCAAATAAAAAAGTTTTAAAATATTTAAAAAATAAAAAAAATAACTAAAGAAAAGGAAGAAATAATTGAGCTCATTGTTTATATAAACAAAACTGTTTATAAGTTTTAGATAAGCAATATTATGAGTATGAACATAGCTGTATAGTTTATTGGCTTTTTTTTATAATCATCAAATGCCAAAATATTTTAAAGATTTTTACAAAAAAAAAAAAATTCCATCATAAGCACAAATGAATATATTTTTCATCTTTAAATTTTGTAATTTTCAAATGAAATTTGAGAAAAAAAGCTTTTTGCCATGTATTTTGCAAAACTACTTTTTTGTTCAAAGTGAACAAACTAGTTATTTATTAATACTAAAAGTACAAAAGTTTGCTTGAACTTGCATACTCAAAAAGGTAAAAAAAAAAAATTCCCTTTAATTATATAAAAATTAGATTTCAATTCTTTATAGATTATGGAAAAAAAAAAGGAAAAATGAATAAAAAGTTAGATTCTTTAATTTTTTTTAACAGTTTAATGCTCTGTGAAGAACTCCATGCACAACAGATTTATGCATTCTTTGCCACCAGTTTTCACATCTTTTTATCTTCCAGAAGTATGCATGCACACATTTCATGGTTTTTGGTTTGTTCTTCCAGGCAAATACTCTATAAAATAATGTGACCTCATAAAATCTAGAGTTACCAGTTAGTTATTTAAACTCAAATCATGAATAATTGCTGTCTGTCTTGTTGGACAAATCTTAAATTATCAATTGATCTCAACTGGAACTTGAATTGGTGATGTCTGCCACTTAAAAGTTAGTCATACTTACAGAAACAGAAAAAAAAAAAAAAGTCAGAGTGGAGGAGGATTTTTCCTAAAAAAAAAAAAAAAAAAAAAAAAAAAGAGGAATGCTTACCGAACAACTTTTGCTGGGAAGTGAAGAATCTGCCAAGATCTACATAAATATTTACTGTGATCAATTACACGTTGGTAGTCTTTGTCATCCATTGACACTTCAATTATGTATGAATAAGATCTGTACACAAGAAAGGAGTTTGGTAAAACAGTGAAAGCCAAACAAGATTAAGAAGAAGAAAAGAAAAGAGTAAGTCACATTACATGACAGAATGCATCTCACTGCAGGTATCAAATTAACAAAACTGAAAATGTCTCTGGAAGAAGTTAACACAAAGCAGAACAAAGGGTAAAGTGATCAATTTGAAAACATTTTATATTTGCCTTCAATTTATCATTATAATAATTATATTTATAAGGTTTCACTTAACTTTATATTTATAAATAATGACTTTAGATATTAAAATATATATTACCCATCAATTATGTCATCATGATTAATAAGGAAGGGAATGATATTAGACAATATCATGTGGAGTCATTTTAATGTTTTTACTAACAAATCAAGCAATACAAAGTACTGACTGGGAAAAAATAGGTAAAACATCTATGCAGCATGTTTTATAGTTACAGCTCACCCATTGCTTCCAAAGGTCAATGTTCTAACTCAAGTAAAAATAATTTTGAATAACAATTTTCAAGGCAAGCCAGTCCTCTCCACAAAATATAACTTTCATTGCTACATTTCCAACCCCCATTTGGTTTTGTATTAACTAAACTAAGTGAATATCAAAAAATAATGGCTACTTTGTTAGCAAGCATGATCAAAAGGAAGCAGAATGATGTAACAAATATTTCTCTTAGAATTTTACTATACCCTGACCTCTTGAAAAAAAGAAATAAATTTGTATCTAAATATTTCATTAGAAAAAAAAGTCTAATGTACCCTCATGGTTGGGAAAATTTCAGATTTCTTTTTAGACTGAATTAATATCTTCCAATTTAAACATTACAGTAAAGATAACTTGATATAATGGGATGGTTCCATTACTATTTTATCCACAAAATAATCTTCATAAGAAAAATCTAATTATACTGTTTATATATTCAAATGCTTACAGGATGCAGCCCTTGAACAGATCTTAGTACCAAACAAAGTTAGAAACTGAATTCTATTTTTATATCTAAGTGCAATGCATAGTTGTAATACAAACATTATTACAGAAATTATAGCAAAAGAAAGCATTAGGGACTGAGATAGCTGAAAAATGATTGCCATTTAAAATGGTAATATCTTTATTTAAATTTTAAATTACAATTTAAAAGTAATGCCTACTCAAATTTAATTTTGAAATTATTACTCAAAATTCTCGGATTCTTATAGCTATAAACCATAAAGTTATTAAAAGGCCAGGTCAAAAATTGAAACAAATTACACAGCACTTATTTTAATTAACCACATAACTTAGAACAATTACTTTGCTACTTATATAAATGTAAAAACCAGTCTTAGTTGGCAATAATATAAGCAACAGATGGCTATAGAAATGTACTGTTGATTATTTTGTTTAATTTGTTTAAATGATGCAATGAGTACTGTTTATGTCAGTGGCAAGAATTGTAAGTAAAAATGATGCACTAAAATAAGTAACCAAGTAATCGTTTTAAGTTCTCTCAATAAAAGTGCCATTAACAATTGGCAGAGTTACCTTCTCTTTTCATACACAAATCTCTTTCAAAATGGTTGTCCCTCTGGACACATGAAGAAAGCATAGAATTTTTGTTTTTGGAAAATGCTGCAAACATTCACACTAAATTAGCAATTGTTTATTAAATAGCTGCACTTGATGTACAAACAGTAAAGAGGTAGATTAATAGCAGTCCAAGAGAGAAAAGAAACTGACCTTAAAGAAAGGCCCTGCAATGACAGGCTAGGTGCTGATGCAAATGAAAATAAAACCAAACAGGCTAGTTACAGAAGAATCACTAATTCAAAACTTTGTGAAAGCTTTCAGATAAGCCATGGTAGTGTCTGTAGTTTTGTGACTACTCAAAGATCTGTGTAAAGTGGATTCTCAGAAGCCTGACAAACTCCATAAAGGAGCAGAGAATGCTTGCTAATCAAGAGCTTAGAGTTGTACAATATAGATAGCCACAAGAGATGAGGTCAGGGTGAACTAGAGAGTAAAAGATCAATTGAATGGCACCACAGAAAGAACTTTAAGGCAGTATGCTCTACAGGGAAAGTGATAGCTGTTATATTGTAAGAGTTCATGCCTAATGGCACCACTATCAATTCTCAAAACTTAAAAGTAAGGTCTCTTTAAGCAATACCACATTTGAAGATGAGTGAGGTGTTTCTGACACATGACAATGCAACATTTCACAATAGCTTAAAGACCAAACAAATGATCACAGAGCACAGGTGGACAACTTTGCCTCATTCACCCTCAGCAGTCAAGCAATAAAAATTTACCTGTTTTCTAAATTAAAAACTGAAATATTAATTATACCTTTAATTTAGCCAGATAATTTTTTTAAACAGGAATATTTTAAATTTATAAAACTGTTATGTCGTGTATCCTGCTAAGTTTTTCTTCCACCTCCGTTCTAGTTGGTGTCCATTTATCATATGAGCTACCTGCTCATATGCAAATTATACTAATTTGCATATCACTACATCTCCCTATAACGGAGGGGCCTTATGCCGCGAGTACTTCTTGTACTTCTTCTTGTGCCCTCCTGAACATCTTCCTTTATCTCTCTCCTTTCCCTTGGAGATCTAGATCTATCACGTCTTTCCCTATAATCGAATTGTTCCTCTTGCATACTCTGGTCTTCCTCTTCTAACTCATCTCTCTCTACTTCTTCCTCCGCAGTTTCATTCTGCATTAACTCTTCTGTTACATCAATAATGGGCATCTCTGAAGACATTTCCTCATCCAATTCATCTCCTTGGGATCTTATTTGGTCAGCATGAGCTAGAACACTGTTCCCATTTTCTTTATTTAATATTGCAGTATTATGTCCTTTCTGCATAATAAATTCGGCTGACTCGGGTTGCATATTCCTATTTCTTTTGTACCACATCTTTTGATTTGTGGCATATGACATAGTCAAAGGGGACCTTAATTGTCTGCCCATTAAGGCAGATGGACTTTCCGGCCTGCCTGCATGTGGAATTGTTCTGTAACTTAATAGTAATCTTGGTAGGAAAGCATCGATTTCCTCCTTCTGTTGCAAGCATGCTTTTATGCCCTTCTTCACCGTCTGGACCATCCTTTCCGCTGTCCCATTACTTTGAGGGTGGTAGGGAGGGGTCTTGTAAGGTCTGCATCCTATTTTTCTTAGCCATTCATGCAAATCAGCATTCACAAATTCTGGTGCGTCACCAATGTTCTCGGTGTCCCATTCCTCGAAAATATTACTCTTAATATTTGTTTTACGGTGGTACTTTTTTTATCATGTATTCTCACCACTTCACGCCAACCTGAATATGCGTCTACTAATATTAATAATAGTCCTATCCCATTGACATAGGCATGGTCCATGTGTACTCTGCTCCATGGTTCTACTTCTCGGGCCATACATGTATTTTCTTTTGCTTAAAATTCCTGAGTTCTGTGCATTTTTTGCATCTTTTTTACATAGTCTTCACGTCTCTTGAGTACCCCGCCACCAGGCTTCCAATTTTAATCTTCTTTGTAGCTGCCACTCCACAATGTCGTCATCGTGTACACTTTTTATAACCTGTCTCCTCTGTGTTTCTGGGGAACTACCAAGTCTCCATCACATATTATCCCGTTTTCTATAGTCATTCTATGTCTAATTTCTTTGAATGGTCTTTCAGCCATTGAACAATTTCCCCCAGCGATTCTGTTTTATCCTGGAACATTATTCTATTTAACACTGGGTCATTTGTAGTTTCAGTAGCCATTTTATCTACAGATATTACATCGGTTTCTACAAGGTGCAAGAATGTGTCTTCAAATTCCTCATCGTTTTTGTCCTCCTCTCTATAAAACCTCAATCTAGATAAGGCATCAACGTGCGGTATTGTATTCCCTTTAACATATTCAATGTCAAAGTCAAACGCCATCAGGCTAATCACCCAACGTAATATTCTGGACATTGTAACTTTCGGTAGCTCTTTTCTTGGGTTGAAAATAAATTCCAGTGGTCTATGATCACTTTTCAACAAGAATTTTTTTCCCATCAAAAACTGTCTTACTCTATGCATTGTCCACACTATGGCTAGTGCCTCCCTTTCTATATTCGAATAATTGTGTTCAGTTGTTGTTAATCTCCTCGATAAGTACATTATGGGATGCCCATCTTGTGACAAAATACCAGATATGGACTGCTCACTAGCGTCAGTAGTTAGAGTTATGTCCTTCTTAGGGTCAAAATTTGTACTATTGGCTTATTTGCCAGAATCTGTTTTAAGTTTTCAAAGGCTTTCTGTTGGTGTTCTAACCAAATGAATTCCACATTTTTTTTTAACTTAGCAAATGGCTCTGTCAACTCATTATATTTTGGTACATATTTTCTATAAAAATTTACCAAACCTAAGAAGGACTCCAACTCTTTTTTTTTTTTGGTGTAGCAACTTTTTAGAATTTTCTCTATTAGTACTTTATCTGGAGAGATCCCTTCCTTTGATATTGAGTAACCCAAAATGATATTTCATTACTGTTGGTTACACTTTTTTTGTATTTATTGTCATACCAGCGTCTCTCAGCCGGTTCAGTATATTTTCAGTTTTTTTCTTTAAACCATCTTCATTTAAATCTCCAACACATATATCGCCTTGATAACAGATGGTATTTTCAACATTTCCTATTACTTTTTCAATAGCTTTTTGAAAAATTGCACTTGCCGTTTTTATGCCATACGGCATTCTTTTCCACCTTAACAGGCCTATAGGTGTGTTTATAGTCATCACTTCTTTAAAATTTTCATTTATCGGTATTTGGTGGTAAGCTGATTTTAGGTCTATCTTCGAAAATACTTTCATTCCAGCAAGTTTATGTAAAGCTACTTCCACATTCGAATAGGGTACGAGTCAGCACAAACTTTATGGTTCACCCCATTTTATAATCTCCAAAATTCTCAGGTCACCATCTTTTTTTTTCAATACCACAATGGGTGATGCCCATTTACTTCCTCCTGAGGGGCAGGTTCTAATAAGTCTTCCTTTATTAGCTTTCATAATTTAGCTATTACCAACGGTAATAAATGCACTGGTATTTTTTTCGCTCGTAGTAGGAGGGGGAAACATCTTTTAATTTCAAGCTAGCTTCATAGTTTTTAATTTTCCTGTTTTTTTCTATTTCTATCTCATTAATCAACTTCGTTGAATTTATTTTTAACACGCCATTCCCCAGTAGTCCATGCGTTTTTCGGCAATTTGTAACTATAATGGGTACTATTTCATATTTTTCTTTTAATTCTATTGAACCTTCAAAGTAACCCATAATTGCTATAATCGAGCCATCAAACTGACGTAGTTGTACGTTGGTTTTTTTAAAACGGTTTTCCCATTTTTTCCCACAAATTTCTGGGTACTATCGTGACGTCACTACCTGTGTCGATTTGCATTTCGACAATACAGTCATTGATTTTCACTTTTATTTTTGTATCTCCGTTCTTAGATCCAGTATTTTGTATATTATCCTTTTTTTACATTAAAAATCTGTATTTTCATCCTCTACTCTTTCCACATTTTCGTTTTACATACTTCTTTGAAGTGATTTTTTTAAACACTTTGAACACGTCTTTCCAAAGGCTGGGCATTTTCTTTTTCATTTCATGAATTTTTCCACAGTACACACAATTTTTTCTTTTTGTTTGTACCGTATATGTTTCAGCCATTATTTCTTCGTAGGATTTATTTTTATTTTGGTTGTAGGTATGTATTAATTCCTGCAGTTGTATAAATTCTATACACATATTCAAAGGCATGCTTGTAAGTTGTAACCGTTCCATTAACTTATATCTATGTGCCGAATTATGCATACCTTCAATTAATCTTAGTTAGATTAATTCTTCTTCCGTTGTCTGCTCTCCTGTTCCTAGTTTTTCGAATTCACAGTATTTACTCGCACTTCTTAACCGGTGTAAATATTTTACTATCGGTTCATCCACTTCCTGCTTCATTGCCATAAACTTGGTCCTTTCTGCAATCACCAGTCTTTTCTTTGGCCTCATGTTTCCTTTAATAACCTGACTTATTTCTTCGAAAGTCATTTCTTCTAGTTCTCGAGGGTAAACCATTGTAGCAACCTTCATAATCGCTTCACAACCAGCGGTAGCCATGAACAAGTCGGTGATTTCATTTTTCCCCTCCTCTGTTTTTGTTGTCTTTCAACTTTTTACATCTAGCATTAGCAGCAAAGCAACGAATCCACGTGTCTACGTACTCTGGGTCTTCAAGGACCAAAGAGTATCCTATCGGCGACGCCATTGTTATGTCGTGTATCCTGCTAAGTTTTTCTTCCACCTCCGTTCTAGTTGGTGTCCATTTATCATATGAGCTACCTGCTCATATGCAAATTATACTAATTTGCATATCACTACAAAAACTAACAGGACTTTTATTCTCTAAACTTATATAAACGAATGAAAATTTTCTAGTCTCTTTCTGAATCTAAAATTAGGTAGTATATTCAAAATTAGATATCGAAAAGTCATCTGATAACTTTTCATTATTGTAATGCTCAAAAAGAAAAAAAAATGTAAAAATTTCTAATTGTTACTTCAACACAGGTTTATTATTATTTTTTTTTTTTTTTTTACATAATATAAAGATTACACCAGAATCTGTAACTGTAAGACAATATGGATGCTAATAAAAATAAATATGGATACTAGTTATAAAAGAGAAAAAAAATTAATATAAAAAAAGAAAAAAATATTAAAAATGAAAGACAAAATAATTTTTTTCTTTGCACTGAAAGTCTATAGTGATTTTATTCATAAAATATAAACTAAGCCTATTAACAGCACAGTTAAAAAAGCAGTATATAAAAACATTTTATAAACACTGGTAGAAGACATATTGTAGTTAAGAAAATCATGATGATCATATAATAAAGAACATATTTCCTACCTCATATCTCGATCCCAAAGAAGCATTTTAATTGTATTAATGATATATGGTTGTCCCAGCTTGACGACAATCCCTTGGCCATTGTTGCCGTCTATAGGATGACGAGTGAATCCTCTATCAAAATCATAAGTCTGTGTATCCCCATCAAGCAAAGCCTGAGTCATTTCACCTCTAACCACTTGGCTGCCATGGGGAACCGTTGCAATGTTCTCTTCAGGAACTGCAGCAGAAATAAAATAGATATTATTAATTTTGCATAATACATATGAACAATTTTTTTATTATTATTAATTTGAAAAATTAACCTCTTACAAACCTAATGAAACAAAATAAATGAAAAAGATGTTAAATTTACCATGTATGGCAATCTTCAAAACATTTCTGTTGACATTACACAAGGTCAATATTATTTCTTGCATCTTATAACCAGTAAAGCATCCAAGCAAGAAATATATCACTGCTAACATCCAATGTCTCATTTTGATATCTTTTTAGAAACTCTAGAAACTATTTTATCTATTTATATGTTAAAATAGATAGAAATTTAACCTTTAACCTAATTTAAACTTTTAGCCTATTGCTTGTGTCTGCAGAATGTGTGGAGTTGCTGAAGTAAACGGAGATAATTGGATGCTCTCTTAGATGTTCTTTGTCCATTTGAAATAGTCATCAAAGGGACTTTCCTTGGAGGATATTTCATTGTTGAGAGGATAAAATTCTAAGGAATTTATTTTAAAGGAAGTGCAAAATTAAAATTCTGTGTTTTCTAGAAAATTTAAGAAATTAATCCAACAATATGCTTAATGAAGGATGAAAGACGTCATTGGACTAATCAGTTATCCAAAAAATTTTCAAGTATGGAAAAGGAATGATTTCAAAGAAACTTTTTTGTTGACAAATTATACATAAAGAGACTAGAAAAATTAACATTTAACAAACAATTCCATTAGGAGGAGAAGCAGAAAGAAAAAAGGGGTAAAGATTAAATTTCAGATTCAGAAATCCAATTCTTTTGAAGTGAAAAGCAAGAAGAAATCTACATTTCTTCCTCTGTTATTTGGATTTAGCCAACAAACTGTATTAAGCAACAGTAAAGTGTAATGAGCATTTGGAACAACATGACTGGAGCTAATAAATCCTTTAAATCTTGACTATGATACTTCATCAGACCCAAATAGTCTGGCACTACAAAATCACAAAGGGCTTTACTAAATAATAAAAACCACATCATTTGAAAACTTCCAACAGCAGCAATAACAAAAAATGTACAGCACATGTAACTAGAAGAAAAAATAATTATATAATGTTAACTTATTTCCACACAACCAAAAGCAAAATTTTTGGAAGGAAACTCCCCTCAATACTAGAAAAGGTCTAATTTCCTGAAAAAAAAAAAAAAAAAAAAAAAAAAAAAAGTGTAAGTGCAAAATTAGTGTTTACTTACCTAAGAAACCTCTGTATTTTAAATCCATTCCTCGACATTCTGTAAGAACCTTAATAGCATCCAAAATGGCATCCGCAGATACCAATCTAGTTGGCCTCACAATATTTAAAAGATCCTGCATGGACATCAGAGGCAGTCGTACAGCTTCTAGGATGGGGCCAGCATCAAGTCCGGGGTTGTATTCAGACCACTTGTATATGGCGTCAAAGATATCTATTTCTTGAGCACAGAAGGAATCACGGGACAGCAATTCTTTAACAGATGACTAAAGAAAAAAAAAACTTCTAGATAAATAGCAATAATAATAAACAGTTAAATTTAGTGTAATTGAAAATCAGTCATCAGAGATGATTTCATAAAACTCCAAATGCACAAAAACATTGTTTGCAACTAAATTAAATTGTCCAGTGCAGAGCATATCTTTAAAAGATACTTTCATGATCCTGTGAGGAAATAAACATTTTTGTCACATTTAATCTTCTGTAGATTCTTTATTGATAAGTATAATTTTTATCTTATGATGAACAAGAAATTACAGCTACTTTTTACTGTAAATGGACACAAAGGAAATAAGAATTTGACTGGGTGATATTGTTAAGCATATTACTAGTATTTCTAAGACTGATTTTGCTTAAAACATAACAGAAAATTAAAGTATTCTGAATAGAGAAGGGCTGGTCAAAAAATAATGCTTGTTCTATTTTAATTTTTAAAGTAGGATTTTTTTTCTTTTGCTATAAACAGAGACCCAGGGAAAAAAAAATTGTAGAATTATCTCCTCTTGTACTCATAATGCTCTTTCAAAATGGCTGCCACTCCACTCACATGCAGAAAACAAAGAGCCATTATAGAATTTCAGTTTTTATTTTTTTTTTTTAAGCATTACGCCCCAAGCAAGGCGTGAAGCCACTAGGATGCATGGGGTTGCGGAAGATTTGGAGCGAGAGCAGATAGGAGTGATAGAAGAAAGGATGAGGAGAAGGATAGTGGGTAGATCAAGGTAACTGGTGATGTCGATTGACATTACATTTGAATAGTTGGAGATTATAGCCTTCAGGGAAGCAGTAACTGGGGAGGGTGTTCCACTGGCGAGAGGTGCGAGGTATGAAGCTATTGGAGTAGAAGAGACGGCTACATTTGAGAGTTTTTAACGTGTAAGGGTGGGGCGGGATGCCAGCCTTGTAGGGCGCTTGAATTCATGGAATCTGGGAACCAGTGAAAGCAGCTCGTCAGAGCAGTTTTGAGAAGGAAAAGGTACTGCAAAAATTCACAAGAGGTTGGTGAATGATTATGAAAAGACTGCACTTGATATAAGCACAGGAAGGAGATTGGCCAGTTAATAATAATCTTAGAGAGAAAGGAGAGACTGAACTTAATGAGAGACTCTACAGTGGCAGGCCAACTGCTTCCATTATAAATGAGGATAAGGACATCCAGTTTAATGTTCTTATTACATTATTGCAAAACTATGTGAAAACCTGTAGGTGAGCCATAGTAGTGTCAGTAGTTTAATACAGCCTCTTGGCTAATCAAAGGGCTGTACAAAACAAGATCCTTGAGAGAGGTGGAGGTGGTTGTTGTCCAAGATCTTCTGGAGTACTAACCTGTCACCCTCAGACTTTCATTTGTTTTGGACTCATGAAGAAGGTTGTCAAAGGACAGCAAATTTTCTCCCATTTAAAAGATGAAAATACCATGAGTGTGAAGGGAAGGAGACTATATTGAGGACTAGATTTGGAATCAGAGACATTTGCATTTATTTTAGTAGGTTCTGTGTATTTCCATTATTAAATCTATTGTAATTAAATAAAATCTGGCATTACTTTTTCACCAACCCGCAATAATGTAAATCAGTAACTGTCATAGTATGATATATGTGTATAAATGCTATAATTGACATAATATAAAAGCATGGATCTTTGGTGGTGGCTAAGATACTTGAATATTTATCACCAGTGTTAAGTGAAAGCCAGAATTTCATATGTTAATTTTCAAGGCAAACAGAACCTCCCTATTTAGAGAATTTGCACAATACATTCTTTCTATTTTGCATTTCTCCCCTACATTGCCTTTTACCATACCAAGTTTAACTACATATAAAGAGAAAAGATAGTATAAGCTGATATTTTAATTTTCTGACAATCTGTGTCCTGCAAATGACAACCATCTCCCCATGAAAGCATAATCTGTAATTAAACTGCCTTGTCAGCTCAATCACAAAATAAAGAAATTACAATCACTGTCCACACAATCCGATTAATAGAGACACTTTACATAAATATATATTTCAGTTTCCTTAATGAACCATGACATAATTAGCAAATTATATAAGGCTATATGCATTCACTGAATAAAGCAAAAATCAAATTGACAAAAAGGTATCATCTTTTGATATTTGATTAAAAGAAAAAAATAGTTAGCCTGCCTCCTTGATATTTTGAACAGGAATAAAGGTTTGTCTTTTGCTTAGGACTGGGTTTCTGGTTCTTTCGACTCTGTACTTCTGATGTTTCTGCCTGAACTCAAATTTTTTACTCGCTAATTAAATATTGACCTCTTTAAGTCTAGAATTAGACTATCTTTCCCTTTCTTACACTAATACGACTCCACACAATAACCCTCTGCCTTGAATGGCCCTTGTATTGGATGAACATTAGAGAAAAAAAAAAGTTTTCCTGGGGGGGGGGAATGTAATTGTTATTCTTTGTGCATCATATTTTTTCAACTGGTATTTCTGACATTTTAACAGAAAAGGCAATTTTAGTTTTATTTAATCACTTGTATTAAAAGATGAAACTGAAACAAATGGTAATAGAAATAATGTCTAATCAGAATAAATAAGTAATTGCTGCAGTTAAACAATTAAAACAAAGCAAGCTCTTAAGATACAATGAAATGCTCTTTGTTTTAGAGACAACGAAAAATAAATCACCTCAAAAGATTAAAAAAACAAACCTGTGAGAGACTGTAAAAAGATTCACTGTGAAGAATGTCCATAGCATTTCTGTCTATGAATTCCTTGCAAACTTGACACAAAGATGTCAAGTTGTACATATTGGCAAGATCATAAATCAGACACACATTTCGAATGTTTAAAGTGGCCTTTAGGTAATCAGAAATAGCACTCTCCAGTTCCACAAAGCCGTATTGGTGAGCCAGGCCTAATATGTTCAGCAGGTTCTCTTCCTATATAAAAGCAAGAAACACCAGATAATAACAAATGACAAAACATTCAAAGTAATTTTTTTTGTATGCATCTTTGCCTTTCTAGTATAAAATACTAAGTAATTTATAGATTTTAATATAAAAAAAAATGTACAATTTTAAACAGTGTCTTATTTATGATCTCATTGAAAAAAATTAAATAAATAAAATATCTAATTTGGAAAAAATTCATTAAATATTTTCACTTATAATGTTATGCCATCTGAATAGTAAAAAAAACTGATAGCCAAAATAAAAGCTTCACTTCATTTTAATGAAATAAAGATAAAAAAAAAAAAATCATTTAAATGTTAGTGATAAAAGTAAAGGCAATAAAAAATATATGTAGGTACAAAGGTTGTATGGATTAATATCAGCTAATAATCGATTATATTGGACATTTGCTGATCAATCATTTTTTTTTTGGCAGTTGTTCTACAAATTAATCAGTTTTCCTACTTGGTTATCTTTCATCCAAAGATGTTCATCCCTGATTTAAGAATCATCATTTATCTTAGACATAAAATGAATTTAAATAATATTCTGATAGTCTTTCATTAATTTTTTTTTTTTTTTTTTTTTTGCTAAGCTTCACCAAAAGTACTGAAATTACCCAATTATCAGCCCCAGTAAGCGTATCAATAGTTCCACAGTTCAATGTTAAAAAAAAATTTATTGATGCAAGTATTTTTTAACAGATCTCCTTCCTTGTCAGTGTTCTTAGATCAATAGTTATTAATTGATTAGATTGAATATTAAAACAACACACCAAATCAAAATTTAGCTCACTACATGACAAGCAATGAACTTATTGATCCACCCTCATACATATTTTTCTATATTTGTACAGATATTTAACAAACATAACAAGAATGTCCTTTTATAGTAATAATCCTAATTTGCAGAGACAAATGAAGTTACTGTTTTATTGCTTGAATTGCAATGGGTTTACAAGAATAACATTATCAGTGAAGACTTCATTATTTACATGTGAACTATCATCTTTGTTGTTATCACAACATTTCGGCTGTTATCCCTTCCAGCCTTCATCAGGAAGATACAACGGCCAAAACAGTATCATAACAACAACAAAGGTTAGGACAATAGTCCACATGTAAATAATGATAACTGCTCATCCCAAATATTCCTTAGACTTCAAGAAATTCAAAATTATTCTTTATAGATAAATTAGATAATTTCATTTCAATTAATTGTTGATCCAACTCCAGTATAAAGATCACAAAATTATTCCCCAATCATTTTTACACTGACAAATGGGGAGCAGGATGGATCAACATGTTGCCAAGAAAAGGACTGAAGTAAATAAATATGAGTATTTACATTTACCTTAGCCTCCACCAAATTCATCCTTCCTGTATACATGTATCTCTGCAAAGCATCAAAAGCTTTGGCCGATGTATTTTGGAGTTCTATTTCCTTGGTGCCAGGCTGAGATTCAAGCATACCACCATACAGTAAGGCCCTAAAAAAAAAACAAACATGAATTTCCAGGATACTTCAATACCTACATTAGCCATATTGCATTCTTGTTATACTAACAAATATACAATAAACTTGAAGCATCCATTCCTGTCCACATTGCTAAGCTACAAATCAAAAAAGTTACTTACAACACTTAAGCTAAACAAAAAGAAAAAAAAATTGCAATGTTTAACCTTTGTGTCTGCAAAATAATGGTGTATCAAAAGGATAGTTCTACCCTTGACACAACTATTATTTTAACTACCTTCACTCTTTAGCACAGAATATATAAGAAGAGGTATAATACAGTGTGACCCGGATATAAGAGAAACCCAGATATAAGAGAGATTTTCTCTGGTCCCAAATTAGAGCCTGTGTTAATGTATATAAAATAGACCAAACCCGGATATTAGAGACTTCTTCTCCGGTCCCGACAACTCTCTTATATCCGGGTTACACTGTAATAATCTTCTATGTGCTGTGTCCCTTCAGGACATGGGCAATTATGGCTTTCCAAAATTTCCTGTCTTTTGTAGCTCTTAGTAAAGTTTGTCTTAATACACAAATATCCAGCAAACTAGAGCTGAACTAAAAGAAATAATTTGAACCAAATTCTCATCTTAGAGAAAGAAAAAAATCTTTTTTATTTTGTTGAGAAACAAATGTTTTTATTTACTTATTTTTTTTTTTATTTGAAATATTCTTGCTAAAAAAGTGACAGCTAATATAAATATTTTTTTAAGAGAAATATAAAATAAAGTGTCACAAATACCAAAGCCTCTAAAACTTAACCATTACCAACTCCACAACTAAAAACATGTCAATTCTTATGTAAATATATAAATAATTATCAATAAAGTAAAATATTTACTTCATCGATGACTATTTGCATACATCTAATCTAAATATTATTTATGTACAAACATTTCCAGTGATTTTAATTTTAAAAAGTTTTAAAAGACAGAACACCCTGAGAATTTTGTAAGCACATTGTACATACAAGGTTATTTTGTATTCATCATCATTGTCATTGGTTAAATTTTTCATTTTTTTTCCCACATTAGTTGATTAACAATGGAGCAGAAATTAATATGCAAAAGAAATAAGCAAAGAAAAGCTTTTCTTTACAATTTCAACTGTACAAAAATGTATTACAAATTACTACAAAGCATTAATTTTCTGAAGCAAAGAAAAAATTATTTATATAAACTTTAAAAAAGAGCTCTCTTATTTGCTGGAGTATTTTTTTTTTAACTGAGAGAAGAGGGTTTATGCTTCACTGATATTCACCCCAAGCTTTTATCTGAAACTTCCTATTCATAATACCACAACATTAGAATTTCAGGAGAGAAAAACATTACATAAGCTGAAGTTGGCTGACATTTATTAACCAACAGTGTCTACTTATGGATAGCAACAGCAAGCATCATGTCAAACACAAATTGATTAAAATATATGTTAAGATATACAGGGCAATAAATGGCAAGATATAGATTTTAGATACACATAAGCATGAGACATGAAAAGACTGAAATAGGCAATCTCACAGATTTGTAGGAATTCATCCATAAAAGAAAAGAATGAGTAGCACTTACCTAAAGTACTCTGACCTTGCAGCCAAGATAACCTTGTGGCATTTAAAAGGAACCCCTTCCACCAAAATAGTAATGTCACTGTACTCCGAGTTTTCAATGAGATCCCCCAGATTTTCTGACAGAGAGCTGACATGGTCTACCTGTCCTGATGGTGCTGGTGATCTTCGGAAATGGTAATCACACATTCTCATGTCTTGCTTTCTGAAGACATGCCACTGAAATAACAAAGAAAGAGAAATTCATTTGTTGAATATTCAATCATCCTCAATCAGGAGTCATTGACATTTTCATTCTGTTATTTACCATTTTATAAAGAAATGTTTTTTATTTAAAAATTATAAAAAAACTACAAAATTGTTGGGGATGTGCAGAATTAATTAATTGTAATTGAGTGAATCAGAAAGAATTTGTGTAGGTTGCGTGACTTTCTGCATCCACAAACAAATAAATAAACGAATTTTAAATACAATCAAAAACAAGACATATTCAATTTATAAACCAACAATTTATATACAATTCAAAGTAATATATATATACAGGATATTTTGGTATATGTTACTCTGGCGAAGTGTGTGTGATATTTGAGGTTTCGGTATGTCTCTTTTTGCATTTGTATGTTCAGTTACAGTCTTTCTGGAATTGTGTTAATTAACATTAAAAATGTCGGTGTTAAGTGTTTTTAGGAATGAGTTCTTATGGAGTGGTCTACCTTTGACTGTAATATTTCTGAATCGTTTGAATGTTGATTTTTTACTTAATAATGTAGTGAGTATAGTTCACTTTGGATAAGCAAAGTTGTTTTAGGTTTGCAATCCACAGAGTTGGTTGAGTTTAAATTGCAAGTGAGTCAGCGTTGATGCACTTTTGCGCAGTAAAGTCGTGATTTCGAGTGACGTGGAGTATGTTGGCAATTTCTCTGTGGATGTTTGTCTCTGACTCTTTTGGTCAGTCAGCATTTTCTTTTATATGTTTTTGAAAGTCCAAAATCGGCTCAAAGAAGTTTTGGCGCAATTTTGTTTTTAACGTGAAACTTTCAGATTATTGTGTCGCTAACCAATGAGATTTGTTGATTACGCCTAATCTGGTTTTTTTATTGGTCAAGTTTTCCATCGTAGGCGTAAAAGGTATAGACTGTTCTGTTACTAGTGATAGGTGAAAAGCGGAGCTCAATACCTCCCCCTAGATTAATGGCCATGCCAATGGGCATTAATATGTAATGTATGTGCAAAATCTTGCTGGCCAATGAACATGTCTGCCTGACTTTGTCTTGGTAGACTGGGTTGAAGGAGACATGTTTTTTAGTAGTCGTTTGTGTGTTTGATTCACGTAGTAGATGCTGTGTGTTTGATTGCTCTGGTACTGTTGGGTTTAGCGATTATTGGAATGACATCATCACACTTTTTACGATGCTGGTTTGAGTTCTGTCGATGCTGACAGTATTTTGTTTACCAGCAATGTCTATTACGAAAATACTTAGGTGTTCTGGAGATTACTAGATGTGGTCCAGTATAGTTCGGTGTTAGAGGTTTCGAATCAAGCGCCATTTAATGGGAAAACATATTCTGAGGAATTTAAGTCTATTGGCATGTAATACAGTTTCTTGTAAGCCCATGTAGGCGTATAAATTATCTCAGTCATTTTTTTTAGATCAGACACCTAAATAACTGGTAGGGTAGAATCTGTAACATTGTGAAAGATTTGTCCTGGAAGGATTGTTGGTTTCCCGAACACCAACTCTGCACTAGTACACTTCAGATCTAGTTTGACTGTGTTTTCTTAGCTAAAGCATCACAAATGGTAGCTTATCTACCCAGGTACGAGCACTGGTAGATGCTGTTAATGCGTGCTTGAGCTGTCGATGAAAACGTTCTACTAATCCGTTACTGCAGGGATGATATGCCATAGTAGAAATGTGTTTGATTCCGAGCAAGTTGACGTAATTCAGCAAATAAAGTTGACTGGAACTGAGGGCCTCTGTCAGTAGTAATAACCGCAGGGCATCCAAATATTGAAATCCAATTCTGAAAGATAGCGTTGGCCACGTTCTGCTGTTATCGCCGATAGCAGTGCGGCCACAGGCCATTGTGTGAAGCTTACCTACGATAGTCAGAATATATTCGTATCCATTGGTCCTGTCAAGCCGGACCCACAAGGTCGGGCGGAATATGAGTAAAAACAACCGTCAGGGGCCATAAAGGTTGATGATGGTGCTTTTGTATGACGACTTTTTGTTGCTTGGCACGCTGCCAATATGAACCACTGTTTCACGCCGAAGCCATACTGGCCAGACAAATCTGTCAGATATAGTCCACAGCGTAGCCTTCACTCCAGTGTGAGCTGGTGAATGAAATGATCGAAAACTGTTTTTTCTCATCGACGGAGGCAGGTAAGGTCGAGGGTTGCCTGTTGAGACATCACAATAAACAAGCTTGTCGGTGAAAGGGAGTGGACGTTTTTCTAGTTTCTAGAGGTATCTGCCTGCACTGAAGGGAGTGTGTTGTCACTCAACTGCTCTTCAGCTAGTGTGTCAAATTCGAGTGAGGATGATTGTATCACATCAAGCGTAGGTCTCGACAATGTATCTGCAATGGTATTATTCTGTCCTTTTACAAATCGAATGTCTGATGTAAATTGACTGATGTAATCCAGGTAGCAAATATCTCTAGGGTTTAGTTTATTGGACTTCGCGTGCAGTGCATAAGTTAACGGTTTATGATCGGTGAGAATAATAAAGTCCCTACCCTCAAGGATGTGTCAATAATGCCGTATCGCCAAATAAACGGCAAGTAATTCTCTGGAAAATGTGCTATATTTCTTCTGTGCAGAATTTAGCTTGAGTGAGAAAAACGACAAAGGTGTTTCGATACCATTAGTAATTTGGTGTAACACAGCTGCGACTGTGTCGGCTGATGCATCTGTTGTTAATGTGAGTTTAGCTTTCTCCGATGAGTTAATGTAAGTTAGTTTGGCACAGTTCTGTAGTGCATCTTTTGCATTTTGAAATGATCATAGCTCATCTTGTGATAGTGATATCTGTAAATTTTTTCTTTTATGCAGAGACAAAATATTCATCAGTGGTAATAAAATTGACGCACAATTCAGGATGAACTGTCAATAGTAGTTAATCATTCCCAGAAATCTTCTTAATTGCTTCAATGTGGAAGGTGGAGGATAATTAGCTATCGCAGTAATTTTCTGATCCAAGGGAGTCAATCCATGTTGGTCTAAAATGTGCCCGAGGAAAGTTAAACTCGGTACTGCGAAAACACATTTATCAATATTTATTTTTAAACCGTAGTGTTGTAATCTTTTGAGAACTGCATATAGATGTTCACGGTGTTCTTCATGAGACTTGCTTGCTATGAGTACATCATCTATATAAGCATATGTGTAGGGCATTCCACGTAGAACTTCGTCTATTAGCCTCTGGAGAGACTGCGCCACATTACGCAATCCGAAGGGCATTCTCGTAAATTCGAAGAGTCCAAAAGGCGTTGTAATAGCAGTTTTCGGGATGTCGCTTCCTCAATGGGGATCTGATAATATGTTTTTTTAAGATCAAGCTTGGTGAATACTTTAGCACCTTCTAGCGAAAGGGTGAAATCTTTAATATGCGGGATTGGGTATTTGTCCGGGACGGTCTGAGCATTTAGTAACCTGTAGTTGCCGCACGGACGCCAACTGGCTGAGTCAGCTTTAACAACCATATGTAGAGGGCTGGCATAAGGACTGGCTGAAGGACGGATTACACCAAGTTTGAGCATGTTGTCAAATTCGTCGTGAGCTATTTTTAGTTTACTTGGATGGAGTCTGCGAGGTTGAGAATGAACTGGAGGTCCTGTGGTCGTAATACTATGAGTGGCGTGGTGTTTCACAGGTTCATTATGGGTTGACAGTGACAGTAGCGATTGGTACTGACGTATTATCTCATTGTAGCCATTTGCTGTAGGTATAACAGTCGTCAGACCGATTGTCGAATACTTAGAAATGAAACCGCAACGTTGTAGATTAGTTCTTGTGTCAGTTAAAGTTTGTGACGCCAACTCAACGGATAGTTTGTAATGGGTTAAGAAATCCACTCCTATGATCGGCATTGCAACATCTGCGATAGTAAAAGTCCACGTAAATTCTCGCCTCCAGGCCGATGTTCAGCGTTAGGGTTCGCCACCGCATGGTGATCGGAGTGCCATTAGCCGCCTGTAATTTGAAAGATGTATGTTGACCAGAGTCTGTTTGCTGCAATTTTTGAAAGGCAGGACACTTATTTGGGTACCGTGTCAATTAAAATTTTTAAACCACTCGCTCTGTCGTGATATAAAAGAGACGATTAATTTTAAATATCTGGCATCCAACGCCTCTACTGGATGCCAGCGAGTCCGTTCCTGCTTGTTTGTTTGGAAGTGACTTTTCATAATGAACATGGTAGTCGGCATTTCTTCAGCAAGACAGCAAAATTTTCGTGGTACCAGCAATTGGCATGTTGGTAATGATCTTGGCGTTGTTGATATTTATAGCGAGACATCAATCTTAAACCACGGTTTCTGTGTCGCGTAAAATTTCATGTGGTTTTTGTAATTCTTGCAGTTGCAGAGATATTCTTTTTAATTCTGAGGACAATTTTTGAATTTGTTGGTCGACATCTGGCACAAGGCCATCAACGGTTTCTGTTGAGGAAATTTGTTGTACCGGGGCAGTATCGGCTATTTCATCTGCTATCATTGCTAATCTTTGTATGTCAACGTCGTCTGTTAATGCAGCCAAGATTCATACCATTTCTTATGGTAATTTGTCTAGCCACATTTGGTGGATATGTTGTTGTCGCCAACAGTTGTTGCATAAATAAGTAGTACTTGAGACGGTTTTGAATCTCCAATTGTTACATTTGTTAAGAGATCTCTTATTTTTTCTTTCTTCTGAAAATTCGGTCTGATGCAGGATCGCTTGTTTGAGGATCTCAAATGCGGCTTGTCTGTTGGTAGAGAGGTTAATATGTCGGTACTTCAGCCGCTACCTCTCTTAAGTAACTTCTCTACCACGGACGCAAATTTTGACTGCTCTTGGTTCGGTCTGGCCTGAAATATTAAAATCCAACTGTAGGAACCACGTCTGAACGTTTGGGTTGAAGGCAGGCATTTCAAGCCTGATTGCTGTTTCTGTGAGACGAAATGGATCAGCCATTTATAAAGTCGTGGTTTTATTTCTGGATCTTCGATCTGTCGGTTCAAAGAGTTTAAATTGCAAGTGAGTCAGCGTTGATGCACTTTTGCGCAGTAAAGTCATGATTTCGAGTGACGTGGAGTATGTTAGCAATTTCTCTGTGGATGTTCGTCTCTGACTCTTTTGGTCAGTCGGTATTTTCTTTTATATGTTTTTGAAAGTCCAAAATCGGCTCAAAGAAGTTTTGGCGCAATTTTGTTTTGCCCGTGAAACTTTCAGATTATTGTGTCATTAACCAATGAGATTTGTTGATTCGCCTTGTACGGTTTTTTATTGGTCGAAGTTTTCCGTACGTAGGCGTAAGGTATAGACTGTTCTATTACTAGGGGTGATAAGTAGAAAAGGATGAGTCTACACTCTCAACCTATTTTATTGAATTTATCTGACAAGAAGAGCAAACAAAAGAAATGCCCGGAAAATGCATTTATAATTAGTTATTATTCATGTGTGTTTAGTTTTTTGTAGGTTATATAGATTTTCTTGTTCAGACATTTTTTAAATAACAAAATTCTTTTCATATTCATTTCTTTAAGGTAAATACTAAATATTTGGTTCACATGATACCCCCCTGAAGAGTGAACGCCAACGGGATGCTGAATAATAATGTAGTAACATTAGTAACAATAACTAACATCAATCAGCAAAATTCTTGTAAATAAGCAATAAATGTTTAGTTAATCTGTTAATGTTCATTTCTCAAAGAATGCATAAATCCAATTTCATAAGTCTTTTTTATTTAAAAAATTCTAATCATCGATTTTTAAAGCAAACGTCGCCGAAAGAATAACCGGCCTTAACTTTTGAGTTCTGACACACCGGTAGTTTTTTTTTTTTTTTTTTGTGGACACCAAAATTAAACTCCTATCGATTTCTGTATCTAAAAAGAAAAACAAAAAAACTCTTATTGCTATCATAATCTGTGCACAATTATTTCAAAGACTAGTACTAAGTATAAAAAAAAACAATATTTCATTTAAAATGAGTACAACTACACACAGTCTAGCAAGTGGTTTTTATGTCAAACAGATTCGATTCTGTTCAGTACTGTCAGACTAAATATCTCATTTATTTTTAATTTTTATTTACATTTTACAATCCTAGTGCGAAATTTTTTCAAGTCTGATATTGTCCTTTGAATTTTCTGTATCAAAGGGTGTTATTTTAAATAAAACTTTAAAAATCCATGTGAACACTTGGCAACAAAATTTTAATTCAACTCATAAAGCGTCTAGCAAACTAAATTAAAATAACTCAAACTGTCATGTTGACATGAACAAAATTTAATAAGGTTAGTGACTCAGACACTTCGTGGGTACAAAAAAAGAAAAGCAAAGCATAATTTTTTTAAATCAATTTCTTTGTACCAGTTTAAAAAAATCATAAAGATACAATATGAATTGAGTCTTTAAAACTGAACAATTTTTTGCAAAAAGTATATGCAAACCACTGAAACCTAAATCTTGACAAACACAAAATAGAACTAAAAACCCATAGACCTCATAAACAACACGGGAAAACAGACCACAATTATACATCGACACAATTTTTTATTTTGTTCTCCGTCGTTAATAAAGAAAAATAAAACTAATTTATTATTTATTCATTTCACCAGTGATGAAATATTTCGCCAAAAACAAAAAAAGACCAACGAAAGGAATAATTTAATTTTAAATTCTGTCTGTACGTTATAAAAAATAAATTACTAACGTTGGCATCAAAAAGACACTGGGGAAAAAATATCTCTTTTGAAAAATGTCTAAAAAAAATTAGATGGTTTTGTTTTTATTAGCAATGTTCTTGATTGTTTTTTTTTTTGTTTTTTTTTTACAACAATTAATAGTTTCATTTATTTATGCTACCTACGCTAGATAAAAAAAGTAAAAAAAAAAGAAAAAAGAAAGAAACCTGATCATTGGTTAAACAATTTTTAACTTTTAATCAAATCTTGCATTCCATTATTTTTGTTGATGTGTTTTGTTCGGTTTTTCTTTTCTTTTTTAGCTTCACAATAACTTACTAATTCTCAGGCACCGCCACTAATTTTCGATACCTTGGTTTACTTTGAATTTTAAAATGATTTTTTTTTTTTCGTTTTAGCTTTAAACTAAAGGGTTTAAATTTACTGGTACTCTTTTTAATTATATTGATTAGAATCGTTTCTCTTTGGGGGGGGGCTTTCAGTATAAAATCATTAAAATCGGCCATTCTGACACATTTGTAAACAAAAGTTAATTCTTGATTTTAAAAATCTTCCAAAAATAAAAATAAATAAAATATACTTTCCTGAAATTTTATTTGAGGAATATTAGCTGATTTAAAGTAATCGGATTTGGAAAAAATACTATTTAAGTTTAAAATAACAGAAACGTATTTTTAAAACAAACAGTAGCGGTGATTACGTATTGTCATCGCTCATCAATCACATAACAAGTGCTGATAAAGGTGTTGACAGATTTATTATTGTTCTACGGAAACTATATGTTGAAACATAATTTAAGAAAATTATTTTTTTTAAGTACTCATTAATATTTAAAATGTTGGAAAATATTCTCCGTAATCTAATTTTAGGAATGTTGACTTTTTAGTCATCGCTCTTATTTTCTGATAATATCGTGTATGGTCGACCATACTTAAAAAAAAAAATGGGCACATTACATATTTTATATACATAAAAAAATATTTTTTTTTAAATCTTGGTGCAAACTGATTAGTGTTAAGCTTTTCAATTTTTGATTAATAAATTATTTACTTAAACAACAATATCAGAATTTTAACAGAAATTATTTAAAAAAAATGTTCGTCGAAAAAGTTTTCTCAAGACAATTCATTACATGTCTTAAGTAAACGCAAGTAAAAGCTTTTCTAATCAATATCATAGTTTTACTTTTTGCATTTTTTTTATTGCAAGTCGGTTGCATTGTCCAAGGAATTCTGATTTTAACTAATAAAAAGATTTTCGGCTGGAATTTAATTTCTCGAAATTTCATGAAATTATGTAAATTGGTGGGTAACATAAATAAAAACAAAATAATTTTTACAAAGATTTTCTAAAAAAAAATTTTTTTAAATAATTTAAATTAATTCATTTGTGAATGAAGTTTCATTAAAATTTAATTTAAAATTCGACAATTTTTTTATTTTTGTGCAAGAATTTCCAAATAAATACGTTTTTCACCTGAAAAAAGCGCTAAAATCGTAAATATTTACGTCGACCGCTAACGCAAGAAAAAAAGAATTTAAAAATTTAATTAATTAAGAAATACTTTAATCTTTCCTCTTCTTAATAAACAGACATTTTGACAATAAAACTTTGTTTTTATCAAGTTTGGGGTCTTTTTTATTTTTCGTCGTGCTATATAGCAGCAATGTTTTTGTTTTTCGAAAAAAAAAAAAAAAAAATCTAAATTTTCACAATTTAGTTTTTTTAAATTAAGAAGTATTTTTAGATTCTAAATATTTAAAAAATTCTTACACGAACAAAAGTCTATTCGTTTATTTTTAATATCGTTTTTTGTCAGAATTTTTTTTATTTTTAAACGTATATTGAAATTAAAATTTTAAATATTTAAAAAAGAAAAAAGTTCACCTACCTAAAATAAATTATAACAATTAATTAATAACACTATGTAATCAGATTGTAGCAATTTACGTTACTATTTTACGTTAAAAACTAAAATTGAAGCATAACTTGAATGAAAAGTAAAACTGTTTGCTAAAAAAAAAAAAAATTTATCTTTCAAAATCGATAATGATATTTTTCAGAGTAAATTCCTCATATAACCAAAATTTTAAAAATAAAAAAATAAAAACAACATATCCCACAAACGATAAAGTAAAGATGATAATTGCCAAGTTAGTTTCGTTTTTAGTTGAATCCGAAACAGTTTTTTGGGTTTGACAATTTTAAAATGAAATGTTGTTGATTGATGCTTCTTAAGGCAAACCGTAAAAACGAAACACTATCTTCTCTCTAAAGCAGAGTCAATGTGATTTTTAAAATTAAGAATGCATAGACCAAAAGAAGACTTGTTTTTGTTTTGTTGTTTTTTGTTTTAATCTGCAATCAACCACTTGATAAATTACACAATAACATCCACGGTTTTTTTTAGCTATGATGGTACATTCAATAATTCAGATATCATAAAAATCAACGAGTAATAAATAATAATAACCTCCAGGGTTGTTTTCTCTTCAAGGTGATTTTTGTAAATAAAAGTTATCTGAATTTTTTTTTACTTTACATGTACTTTGAACTGGAACCTTTTTAAGTTTATTATCAACATACGGATTTTCAGAATTCATTCCACAAGAAAATCGAGTCTTCATTTAGTCATGTTTTAACTTGCTAATTCCGAGGAATTTCGCCATTATTTAGTTCGAAAAAAAAATAGCAATAAAATAACATTTTACATAACAAAAATAACAATTCACAGGATACCCAGGGATAGAATTTGAGGTTGCTATGAAACAGGACCCAAACGTTTCCTTCAAATTATTATTATTTTACCTGTACGAGTTGGCCTGAAACTGAGGGCCAAAATGAACATTTTTGTAGTCTTAAATGGATCCCCCATTTTGTGAACACCTACTTCAATTTCGATGTTATTGTTATCTTTTTCTAAAAAAAACTATTTAAACAATCCAAAGTGAAAAACAAACAAATAAAATGTATAAATAGCATCTGGAAGTCATTCAGACAAAAAGAAAGTCAAATTTGCAATTTTCAAAAGCATTTTGGACTGTTATTGTAGCGAGTTCATAAACAGTAAACACGCCATTATTATCATTAAGTCATCTGGTGGAAATGGACACTGAATTATAGAAAACGAATTAAGTACTAAAAATTGCAACAAAATGTTCCTTAGATGTCCATACCTCATCTGAATTTGCTTCCGCGCCGGCAGATGATGAAGTGGCCGGCTCTAATACAGCAGGCGTGAAAGCTCCATTGCCCGACATCACATCAACAGGGAAAATTCCAACGTACAAATTTCCGCTAAGGGCAGGTAACTCTCGAAGCCTGATTCACCACTTGGAAAAGGTGCGCAAAAAGAATATCAGAAAGATAAATAAATGTAAAATAAATATTGGGTATTATTTTATTTTTGTTGTTATATTGTTATTTCATTCATTTTTTTCTTTTACACTTCCTACTTCTATACTGTTATGAAATGGCAAAACCGAATCTTTGTGCTTTCATAATTATCAAAAGAAAACATTTAATTCAAATATTTTTTTTTCATCATAAATAATAATTTTTAAAAATTGTAATTACCAATAAGAAAAAAATGAATTTACAATCATCCACGCCAGGATTTAATTTTAAAATTGTTTTGACAAAATCAGCTATAAGAATAATTTTCCCATAATCCATTGAAAGTACTTTTGCAGTATGATACACACATTGCATAGAGAAGCCAAAAAAATTACAAAGTTCTTTAGAATTTTATATGGTTTTCTGTAGAGTAGCAATTGGTTATGTCTCAGATTACATTCCCCCACCACCATCAAATACTTATACTTTTATTCCAAGACTTCATTTTTTTTACTCCTTCCCATGCCACCTACACACTGTTTTAAATTTGTATGGCAAAAAAGAAGGAATCCTAATAAATAGGACATTTCTTTTCTTTCAATCAAGAAACTAAAAAGAAAATGTGTTGGTCTTAATGATATATGTATATTTCTTTTAATGTTTAGTTTTTAAATTTGACAAGTGTGCAAAGCATAAATGACAAACAAAAATCTTCTCATGAAAAAAAGAATCTTTTTTTTTTTTTTTTACATGAACACTTTTTCTATTTAATGGCCATAAGCTAGACTTCACATTTGACTCATCTAAACTCAACTTATAACAAGCCACTTAGGCTCACCATGTTCCCAAGTTGTGATGGTTTGTTCCAGCAAGATGACACATAATCATAGTAACATGCAACTAACTACAGGAACACTCAAGTGTCATCCAAGTATTTCATTGACTCATCTACACTGTGCCCACCAGATTTAAATCCCATTGAACATGTATGGGACATTCTGAAGACCTCTGTAACTTCTCCATAGTTTCACATAACAAATACAGTTGTATGGACAATGCCTGATATTGTGTGTGTATATATATATATATATATATATATATATATATATATATTGAGTTCTACCTGGATTCTATCCTCTGGAATTTTTTTATTCAAAAAAATATATATGTATGTGTATGCATGTATGTGTATATATATTTATATATTTTGCATATGTATGTGTATGTGTATATTTACCACTAATATTATCTATATATATATATTTATGAATAAAAATGAGAATGGAAAACTAGTAATTGCTGACGTGTTTCGTCCAATGTGGACTTTATCAAAGCAAAATTCCACATTGGATGAAATGCATCAGCAATTACTAGTTTTCCTATTCTCATTTTTATTCATAAATATTGTCTTCTCTACTGGTTAAACCAGAGAAATTTTATATATATATATATATATATATATATATATATGAGGGTGAGGAATAATATATAAATTTTTATATATCAAGAACAATTTTAGGAGAAAAATACGACAAAATGGAAAAAGTCTTCATGTGACGTGCCTCCTCCTCAAGAATCCCATCAGACCAAAGTAATGCAGCTAAATAAAGTTGAACATACAACAACAGAATTTTTTCATGAAATAGAAACAAACAATACTTTACCTTTTCTAAATATCATGTTACACTGCAGTAATATAAGCCTAAAACTAAGTGTCCATCACAAAGCAACTAATAAAAATGATCTCAGAAATTTCTATCTCACCATAACAAAATAAAATCCAGAATAATCATTGAATTCTATTTAAAAGCACTCAGAATTTGTAGAACTCAATATTTACATGAAGATGAAAAATACAATGAAAATATTTTTAAGCTCTTCCAATACTATAATTATTTCATATTCAACATGAAGCAAAAGGCCCATAAAATATTTGAAAATAAAAAAGTGGCAATTCCTAACAAACCCAATGAATCAAAATATAATGTTCTACCCACCAACTCTATCATAAATATAATTAAAAAGAATCTATCTTACCTTAACATAAAATTTGTTACAACTACTTCTAAATCAACAAAAGATTTAGTTAATACAAAACAAAATAATAAAAGGAGAAATTGACTCTATCACCTGTAGTAATTGTCATAAGGAATACATAGGAGAAACCTCAAAGACTCGAAACAAAATATTAGATGAACATAAATGGGATCTTTTACAAAACAACACACACAATACATTAGTCACTCAACATAATGAGTCTGACCATAAGTTTGATTTAAAAAATGCTACTCTAATTAAAAGAGAAAGCAATTTACTAAGATGAAAATGAATAGCAAGTGTTTTAATCAGTAGATCATCCACAGTAAATTTATGTAAAGGTTCTTACAGTCTCTATGTTGCAGTATACAAAAGTGATGGAAACATGAACAAAATGAAACTAAATGAAATCAATTAGAATATATACACAAATCATACATTAAAAAAAAAGAATTAAATTTTAAATTGTGTGTGTGTTTGTGTGTGTTTATGTTGGCTTCTCCATTGCACATATTTACCCACCAAAATCAAATTCATGTGAATGGCCTCATCAAACTGCCACTAGTGGAAAGAAAAGAAAGAGGGAGAGAGATGATGAACCCAATGCGAGAGGGTGCCAACAATAAGAAATAAGAAATACTATATATATATATATATATATATATATATATATATATATATATATATATATATCAGGCTTTGAGAGTTATCTATGAATTCCTTGTTAAAAGTTAAGAGAGAAATAAGAACTGCCACTGCTAACAAATCTTTTCTTCATTTGTGTTTGACTAATAAAGTGTGTCCCCCTTTTATTTCCTTTAGAATTAAAAGGGCCAATTTACATCCTGGACAAAAAAATCGAGGAAGCTTTTATTACTAATTTTATATCTAAGCTTTCTGATAGTCTTGCCAATTTGTATAAGAAATATTATCAATTATGGAGTATTACAATGGGCAGACTTTCCTATTTTGATAGGATTCGTTTTGTCCGTTATGTAGCACTTATTCATGAACGTAGTTGTTCTCAACTTACGATTAAACATCAGAATAATTTGCAACATTTAATTTATAAAAAATTTGGGTGTTCTGCTAACCCTAGTATTGGTCAGAATGTCTTGAATCTGTCTTCATACCAGTTGTCTGAGCTTGAACTATCAATCCTCTTACACAGACTGGATTTTTGTATTCCCCCCTCACATATTAAGTGATAGGAGGTGTATTCGGAGTTTGAGGTTTTGTTTGCACAGTTAGCTAAACTCCAACCTGAATCTGCTAGCAAAGTCAGAGACCTCAAGGCAAAGTTGAATAATATAGCACATTGTTACACAAGTACTCCTGTTTCACATAATGAATTGAAGTGGAATGAGGAGCAATTTCGGGTAATTAAAATACTTCGTAATAATAAAGCTTTGGTAATTACAAAACCCGACAAAGGTTCTGGCATCGTCATCCTTGACTATCATGATTATGTTAACAAGATGATGACAATTCTTGGGGATTCCTCTAAATTTGTCCAGTTAGGCCCAATAGATAAATTTAACTCTACATTATCTATAGAGGCTAAGTTCCAAAAACATCTGGTTAAGTGGGTAAAAAGTGGAAAATTGCTCACTGATATTTCAAATTTGATTAGACCCTTGGGCCCCATTCGTCCTCATCTCTATAGCTTACCCAAAACTCATAAAGTTGGTACACCATTGAAACCTATTCTATGATTGGGTCTTCTCAACATGGTGTGGCTAAATGGCTTTCAACTATACTGCAACCGGTTTTGGAGCAGTATAACTCTGCTTGTATTAAAGATTCATTTGAATTTTCCCATTTTATGTAGTGTTATTTGCCTATGGATAAATTTATATGTTCATATGATATCGCCAGTTTACTTACTTGCATTCTACTTGCTGAGACTATCGATATATGTGCCAATGCCCTGTGTTGTAGTCAATTGTCTCTGTCTGTTATTCTGGAAGGCGTGTTTGTTGAACTGATGAAATTTGCCACGATGTCAGTTGAGTTCAGTTTCGACAGCATCATGTACAGGCAGATTGATGGTGTTTTGATGGGTTTCCCTTTGGAGCCCATCTTAGCAAATATTTTTGTTGGGTTCCAGGAAGAGAGTGTACTACTAAAATCTGATAAACCTGATGTTTATTTCTGTTACATTGATGACACTTTTTGTCTCTTCAATAATGAGATTAAAGCGAACCAATTTCTTGCATCCCATAACAATATACATCCGGACTTGAAATTTACACAGGAAAAGGAGGTTGATTCATCTCTTCCATTTCTCGATGTACTCATCAGCAGATCTAAGTCAGGTTATATTACTTCTGTGTACCATAAACCGACATTTACTGGTTTGTATATCCATTGGAATTCTTTTTGTCCCAGGAAACGCAAAATCAATTTAATTAAGACCCTTACGTACAGAGCTCTCATGATCTGTTCAGACATCAAGTTGGATGATGAACTCAGGTTTATTACTTCTACCCTCTGCAACAATGCCTACCCATTGGGCATTGTTCAGCAATTAAGAACAAAATTGCTGAATTTAACAAAGTGAAACCTGCTATAGCAAAAAGATGTCCTGTGTAACTACACCTTCCTTGGCTAGGTAGTATCAGCAATAGGTTTGCTAAGCAGGCTTCTACCGCAGTTCGACATTGTTACTTTGCCGCTAACACTCATGTTGTTTTCTCTGCCAGGCCCGTTCTTCCATCTATACGTAAGGATGTTCTCCCACCACACCATAATAGTTCACTAACTTATTCCTTTAAATGTAGTTGTTGTTCGCACTACATAGGGAGAATGACACAAAGGCTAGATGCTAGAATAAAACAACGTGTTCCAGTGAAAATCCGAAACCGGAAGTATACTCCCTTGGACA